CCTGCATAAATAAATGAAAGTTGCAGACAAAACACAGCAAATGTAGGATCTCGTAGACAAATTACCAAGCCATTCGTCTTGTGGCCAGAAGGTCCTTAAAAATTATCGCTGGAGCTAAGGAGTTCGTCTTTTATGCGATACTGTCGACAGGAGGCTAGCAGTTTTGCGGGAAAAGGCCTAGCAGTATTTGAAACGACTTTCGGAGCGGATTACATTCATGTAATCGCAACAGTGTGTCTCGTGTACTTTCAAGCAATTCCGACGTAGATGGGTTGCACCAAGCCATGTTAAACTGTCCAGTTTCTCTCTTTGTCTCCCTCTGCAACTTTTCCCCCATCAGCCTTCCACTGTCGCGATGTGTAAGTTTTCTCCCTTTCGTGAATCTATTCACGGTGTTCTCATCATTCGTTTCTAAGACTATATTTCTACCGCTTCCACATAATCTTTCTCTAACGTACCAAGTGTCCATGATTAACGTTCTTATATCATGATATGATGTATATCTTCTTCTTCAGCATTCCAGTCCATTGATGTTCATTTCTTCAGATATCACCTGCCTCCATTCATCTTTCTGGTTGGCCTTCTCTTTCCAGTTGGTGACATAAAGTGTTTGCAAGTCTGTCTGGACGTGTCTGCCGCTGGTCTACGACCATTCTTCTCCCTTGTTTATACATTTTTTACTTCTCTGTCATCTGACATTCTTTCAATATGCCCCAACCATTTCAGTATTTTAGCTCGCAAAGGATTTACAAGCTTTTTAAAATTCACTTTCTCAACTCAGCTGACAAAGATTGCGCACAATATTTTTTTTTTAATTTTCTGAAATGCACCCTAATAAAATCAAATCTGACAAAGGTAATCATTCCTCTTTGCCATTTAAAATTTTAATGAAAGCGTTTAAAGCACATTCATTTCAACTACAGTGGTACTTCGAGCCTATTCGTTCTTTGACTCCGTTCGCAAACCAAAGTATTCGCGACCCGAAACAATTTTCCGATTAAAATTAATGCGGTAAATCCGTTCGCCAGCACCAGAATCATATAGTTGGTGACTTTATGTATAACAAAAAATATTTAATATAAATTATACAGTGTAACTTTACCTTTGAAAGTTGCTGACATAGGTAGCTGGTTGAGAAGGGGAGACTATTGGAAGGGGAGATTATCACAAATTAACGTCTGGCAATCTCTGGTGTTGTTTGCCACCCCCCCCCCCTCCCACCTTTGTTTGTGTTTTGGCTCCCAGGTCGACCTAACGGGTACCAGGTACAGTCCTGGGAAGTAAAGGTTGCCGGCGTGATGCTGACCACATCACCCACGAAGTGCCGTTTGGTCTATAAAATATAGGTCTAGCCATATATATACAAAAACGCCTGAAAGGCGTGGAAAAGGGTCCCGTACTTTACTTGTGGTGTATACAGTTTCGTCCTTTTTAGGACGAAATTTTTTGTTATTTGAAGCCCCACCCTGGCTTTTGCCAGGGGCCGCAATATAGGCAGGCCATAAATATGGCCAATTGTCTGAACGCGGTTTCTGGGACCTCTCCACGGCGATCCTCGTCCGCATGGTGGCACTTTGTGTCATCGGGTGTTTGTCGCTTGTGTGATGTCCTGGTGGGGTAGAAAGTCAGTCAGTACTTTACTTTTACTTATTTGTGTAATGGGGAGTGTTTCGATTGCTGGGTCGGTGGCTGGTTTAGTTATTTTCTTCGTTTCTACTATAACCAGCTTAGGCTTCTCTACGCCATCGCCACTAACACTTCATGTTCTCAGGAGCCATAAGCAGGGTTAATTTGGTTCTTAATTTATAACGTACCCCAAACACGAAATTCCCGTGGGAGATCCACAGCTGACCTGACATTCCATTATTTCAAGGGGTGCAAGTGTGCTGTTGTGTGGGGCTGTTTGTGAGTTTTCATCTAGTGTCTTCTAACCCTAACCCTAACCTTGGCTGTAGATAAATCACGAGAAACTACAACCTGAAAAGCCTAGAATTTATTAGGAATGTCTTCCGTGACGTTGTCGTGACGTCAGGGGTAAGTTATAAATGAAGTACCGTTAATTTAACGCGCACATGGGAGAACCACTGATGCTGTTCATGAGCCGAAAACACGGCGCCAAAGCCATGCTTGTGTGCGCCGAGACGTTTGTTCACGGGTCGAGTCAAAATGTGTTCGGAAACTGTTCGTGGGCCGATTTGTTTGTGACTAGAGGCGTCTGTGACCCGAGGTACGATTGGACTACCTAATTTTGCCAGCCAGATATTTTAGTGAAAACAATGGGAAATGTAAAGCTAGAACGATGTTCTTTGTGTATAAGCTAAGGTATATGGTAACTAAGGCATCTCATATAATTACCGAAGCTGAAACAACAAAATCAAAACACTGATTAACTTAAAGGTGAGACAGATGTAAGAAAAATTAGCTAAAAGGTGAGACAGATGTAAGAAAAATTAACTTAAAGGTGAGACAGATATAAGAACAATTAACTTAAAGGTGAGACAGATGTAAGAAAAATTAGCTTAAAGGTGAGACAGGTATAAGAACAATAAGCTTAAAGGTGAGACAGATGTAAGAACAATTAACTTAAAGGTGAGACAGATGTAAGAACAATTAGCTTAAAGGCGAGACAGATGTAAGAACAATTAACTTAAAGGTGAGACAGATGTAAGAACAATTAGCTTACAGGTGAGACAGACAGATGTAAAAACAATTAACTTAAAGGTGAGACAGATGTAAGAACAATTAGCTTAAAGGCGAGACAGATGTAAAAACAATTAACTTAAAGGTGAGACAGATGTAAGAACAATTAGCTTACAGGTGAGACAGACAGATGTAAAAACAATTAACTTAAAGGTGAGACAGATGTAAGAGCAATCAGCTTAAAGGTGAGACAGATGTAAGAACAATTAACGTAAAGGCGAGACAGATGTAAGAACAATTAACTTAAAGGTGAGACAGATGTAAGAACAATTAGCTTAAAGGCGAGACAGATGTAAGAACAATTAACTTAAAGGTGAGACAGATGTAAGAACAATTAGCTTAAAGGTGAGACAGGTATAAGAACAATTAACTTAAAGGTGAGACAGATGTAAGAAAAATTAACTTAAAGGCGAGACAGATGTAAAAACAATTAACTTAACGGTGGGACAGATGTAAGAAAAATTAGCTTAAAGGTGAGACAGATGTAAGAGCAATCAGCTTAAAGGTGAGACAGACAGATGTAAGAACAATTACCTTAAAGGTGAGACAGATGTAAAAACAATTAACTTAAAGGTGAGACAGGTGTAAAAACATTTCTACAATGTAGACCTATACTTCTTATTTTGTTCACGGTCGTAAGCCCCAGCGGAAAGTCCTGGTTGTTTGGATTTTGGATTTGTGCTAGGCCAGAGTTTTGGAAGTACATCACTTTTACTGACTTATTTGTGTGCAGCTGGTTGTTCTTTGCCGCTCGGATAAACGCACTCCGACTTTGAAGAAAGTCCCCAGTTTTTCGACGCTTACGACATGCTTGTTGGGGAGGCAGTGAATCTATAAATCCCCCCCCCCCCTTGATATGAACTCGGAACACACTAAGATGTAGGCCTATAATGTGCTGGGAGAAAGGTTGCCTTCACAATCAAGGTTGGTTAGAACCACTTTTGTCTTTAGGAATCATATCTGGGGGAGGGGAAGGCCCCAGTCTCTTCTACAGTGGGACTCTCGTACGAATTTCCGAAATGTGCACGTGCCGACCCCCCTTCCCCTTTCCGGTCTGTTACCCGAAGGTATGACACACTGAGAGTGCAAAATGTTAGTTTCGGCGGCAGACCTGCAGGTCAATCCCAAACAACCCGTTTAATCTCAAAAGAATCCGTGTGTGGGTCCCGGGACCCCATATGTGGGGGAAAGAAAGAATAGACCCACTGCTCGCCGAACAGGCATGTTGAGTTTGACTTATTTGTATGCAAGCTGTCCGTTTCCAATTGTTTGGAAATCGCTTGCCTCCCATGATTCAAAGGAAACACTCCTAACTAGTCAGCTTTTACGACATACTTATAAGGGGGCAATGTTTTTACCCCCCCCCCTTTTTTTTTACCCCACATACACACACACACACAATAGGGCCCTGAAACTCCAGTCTAGACTTTTACAATATTACATTAAAACATTGAAAAAAAGTTCACACAAGAAATGTACATAGTTTGTACATTTGATTATGCTTCATATCAAAGGATTGGGGGTGGGGAGGGTGGGGGGGGGGGGGGGGATCCTGCAAGACCGACTAGACCAACCAGTCGATCTGAAATTCAACAGATAATTTTCTAGACCAGTAATCTGGTAATTTGTGTTTCCCCTGTTGTAGTCAGCGGTCTCTATCTGGTCTTAGGAGCTGATTTGAGAGATCCGTGACATCATTTACAAAAATACCATCAGATTGACCATGCAAAACTGCATTTCTAACATTCATAAATTCTACACTGTTTACACACAAACCACATGCATAGGTAATTTAGTTATCTGATAGCGCTTTCCTGTTAAAAAAAACAACACAACAAAGTTGGTAGCTGTTGGATTATTTTGATTCGTTGATGGGAAAGCTCTTAGGCCTACAAATTATCGATGGCCTAGATGCAAAATAGCCGTCAATTGTTATGGAGAACCCTGATGTATTCTTCTGTTCAATTTGAACAACTGACCCATTAAATTACACAGATTTTAAATGTCAGAATTATGACAAATCGCATCCCTTTGTTATTTGAATAGTGAAGCGCTATCAGATAACTATGCGTTTCTCTTTTGAACAGTATAATATTTCTTAAGTAAAGAAATTATCTCCGACAATAAGAGTTCAGTAAATAAAGGTCTTCGAGACAATCAGAGGAGTCTGATCTTACTTAATCGGGAAGCACTGTTCTAGACGATCACAGTTCTTGTAGATTTATAGCCATTACATAGCATTTATTTACATAACACATTTGTTGATACTTGTATCTATACAGCCCGTTCGTGCTACGTTGTTACGTAACAACAGATCGTCCTAACCGCATATTTTCTGCAGATATCTTGGAGTTGACATCACGGCATTTGGTGTTTGGAGATCGCGGGTGAGACGTGTTGTGGCTGGGTCTAATCCCGTTAGCAGTGTGAGAACCACTTGTAGTCACATCCGGTGTACCGTCAGAATCATGTTTGTCTTCTTGTCCGCTAAACAGTTCCGGTTGTATCTGACCTCTGTCTCGTTTCTTTTGTTTAAATCTGCCTGAACGAGAGATGGACAGACTGTGACGTAATCGACGTTTCTCTACCTCAGGATCGACTTCATCTTTTTTCGGGTCATCGTCTGCGGATTTTTCTTTCTTACCCCAAAACTTTAGGAAAGACATTTTGGTAGCGTCTGGTAGCTACAAGACAAAATCAGAAAGAATATTCCAAACAGGAAGCAAATAAAAGCTTTAAAAGGCTTTCGTTATAAACTTAACAATTGAAATCCTTTTTATCACAATATCACTGTTTTACAGATAGAATTCCACAACTTACATTTATGAATAAGTGTACATCTTTCCGCTGGAAACTGTATATATGTCACAAGAGTTAATCCAGTGGTTTTAAAAATCTGAAATCTGATTTTTTTAAAAAGTATTTTCTTCAGTAAGTCAATTGTTACGAAACACAGTTAAGACTACAGAAGGATAATTCTGGAATAGTTGAACTAGCAAACCTCGCGCTTACATTCCGATAAGTTTCTTATTATATTGAAGTAGCTGATTGTTACAGAATAATAACAACCCTGACCTAATGTACTTCTGAATATTCATGAATAAACTGATTCTTACAAAACGAGACTTGTGAGACGTTCTGTAGATGTCCCTCCCGAATCCGTCGTGTGGTATAACATAAATTGAAGATTCTAAAAAGTTCCGTATTTTCTTGAATAAATCGATTGTTAGTTTACAAAACACTCACTGCTAGACCTGGAGCACCTCTGAATGTTATTGAATAAATCAACTGCTACAAAGCATTGATAGTTTGACATGTACCAGTTCCGTATAGTCTTGAAGAAATAGATTGTTGCAAAACTCACTGTTAGACCTGGAGTAGATTCTTGAATAAATCGATTGTTACAAAACACACTGTTATACCTGCAGCATCACTGTATATTCGAGAATAGATCAACTATCAAAAAGCAATGACAGATATGTAGAAGTTCCGTAAAGTCTTGAATAAATAGACTGTTATAAAACAAATTAAAATTTTAAGAAATTCCAAATGCTGTCGAATCCTTTCACTGGTAGAAAGTGCTGATGCTTCAAGCAAGCTAGTTATATCTCATGAGAAAGTTGAATGTTGCAAAACACCAAAAAACTGACCTTGAGGCAGTCTGTAGATTCTTCAATCACTTGGTCGTGACAACACACTGCCAACAAAGATAAGCGAGCCAAAAACCCAGCGTGTTGCCTTCAACGCTTCAGTGAAACAATTTCACTAAACCTGTAGCATATCGAACGTGAGAACCAACCGGACCTAGATCGAACAAGGGGACTCGAGTACGCAACAGATGTTTACAAGCAACACAACAATGTGACAGACTGAGGCTCCAAAAGCCGACGCTTACTTATCAGTTAGCAAGCCAGCCAACACGCCTTAAGCTTCTCCAGCTTTATCTTAAGACAGGACTTGTGATAACGGCCGACTTCTTCAAACGTGCACGCAAGCAGACTATCACAGTTCAAATTTGAAAATCCGGGAAGTCAAGGTTGAATCTGTCATGATGGACTCACGGTAACGTTATTTGAAACCGCTGGGCTTATGTAGTAAGGTGGCGGGATCGATTCTTCTGAGTACTTCCACCGCGGTTAACCTGTAGAAAAGAAAGTAAAGTGTTTAATTATATTCTGTGTTATCTTAAAACGTTAGCTACACATTCTAAAGTTTTCAGATTGTGGTTACACAGCATCTATTTACTTCCTCAATCAACGTCGACAAGTTGAACCGTTAAATGTCACATTACAAATACAAATTAGGTTGCGTATCCTTTACAGGACGTTGCAGAACGGACCTCACCATTTTCTGGCATTTTTTGTCTTTTCACTTGACAATTGTACGTTCAGTAGTTGATCGTTGCTTTCTCAACGTTCGGATGTCGATACCACGGTGTAAACCAACGCAAGGCCGCATGCTGCCAAATCCTCGCAGCTGGGATCGAACCTTCGATTTTTTTTTTCGAAATGGTTAATTACTCGCTCCTCCAATAAAACCCTAACCATTGTCACCAACAGCTCCCATGTGGTTTCCAGAGCCCTGTTACGGGGAAAACAAGAATAGACCCACTGCCTACCTAAAAGCATATTGTAAGAGTCGGCTAATTGGGAGCTTCCTTCAAAAGCGGAGTGCATCTGCCTGAGAGGCAAGGAACCAGCAGTCTGCATACAAATGAGTCAGATCTGTAAAATGGATGCACACGCAACACTCAGGTTCTAGAACAGGACTGCAGTCCAGAAGTGGCTGAACAACCAGAACTTTCCGCCTGAGTTTACACCTGGTGAACGAGAAGAAGAAGTCGCCAACAGTCACTTGAAAGTATCTAAAACTATGCACTCTAAATATAAGTGTATGTTCTGTTCGCCAGCTAATTCCTAAGAATCTTATAAAACGGGACAATATGTGGTGACGGTGAAAACGTTGGGAGAGGAGGGAAAGGGGGAGAAGGGGGGGGGGGGGGTTAAGGACCTAAGTGACGGCTGATGCACGCCTAGAAACCTGGTCTGCCCTGGTGAGAACTGGACGTATGTTTACCATATCCAGAACCTATTCCCAAGTACCCACCCAATCATATTATACTTTTGATTATCAAAGTTGCCTTCTCTAATTTCTCTACAGGGTTAACGAACGGTCATTGTTTACGCGATAGCTGAATAATGGCTGACTTGAGTCGCCAGTACGTTTGCCAGACAGAGGTGCCCGAATCTGGGGAGTTTTAAACAGAAACCACCAATAGGTTTTCTGAAATTAGACCTGTTTCGTGATGACTGATTTTAACCACATAGATGGTCCAGGCCGTAGGGGGTTGCAAATTTGGACTTATCAGGAAATCTGAATATTTTATGCAAATTAGGTTCTAATATGGTTGCCGTATACTAAAAATAGTTTATTTATTTCAAAGGTGATATCTCATGAACTAACTCACTCTTATCCACTACATCTGACACATTTGTTCACAACAGGATGTTTTAGGGCCAGCACTAGAATTGTTTAATTTTTATGTTTGAAAAGTTTTTCGTGAGTATGTTTAAAAAAATATATTGAGTATTTCAAAGAAAGCAGTATTTCGCTTAATGAAATAATCTTATAAGGTTAGTTATGTATCCTTGACAGGGTGTTGCAGAACCAACCCCAGCAGCCCCTGGCTGTTGTGTGGTTTTTCTAGGCACATTTACGTACAGTAGTTTGCCATTGCTACTGGACGGTCGGCTTTCGTGATACCTCTGCCGAAACCAACGCAATGCGCATGGCCCGCAGCTGGGATCGAACCAGGCATCCCGGCATTACGAAGCTTTGGCGTCGACTTAGCCACAGAGCCGACTAAAAATCTTATAAGTAACAAATAGACAAGTTACCCTCAGTGATCTGCAGTTATTTCATTACAAGCGTGCAAATATGCAGGAGAACATTTATGGCAAATTTCAGGGCGGTCATACATTAAATGCTATCACAGTTAGAAAGTAGACAAACTCCCCAAAAGCACAGTTTGAATGAAAACACAAAAAATGGAGAATTGTTTCCTAATTTTAGTTATAAAATAACTGTTAATATGTTCTAGGAGTGTACATGTCCCCCTCTCTGGCTTCAGTACCGCCTATGAAACATTTTTTGATAGGCCTCACTAGTTTTTCTCTCATCTGGGTTTAACTAAAGGCTTCAACTTATAACAAGTGTAAACGGTTTATGTCCTTCTGTTTGCACCTTTTATCTGTGAAATATCCAATGGCACTGCAAGGGTTTCAAAAAGTTTTATTGTTGATGATGCACCTTTACATAAACATGCCAAAGCATTATAAACTACTTCTTCGTCTCTTCTTCCACTGGTTTGATTTCAATAAAAGACTCCCAATATATACGACTACGTGTAACATCAGGGCCGCGTTACCCTAGTAGATAGGAGACTCGCTTTCAAATCCCGCATCGGCGAACGACCGGTGCTCGAAACCCGCTGGTTCCCAGGGGTTCAACCAGCCTCTAGGTAATGGGTACCAGAGTTAACACTGACGTAAATAGAGGAACGTCGCTGTAGCTACGGAGCTGCGTGCGGATGGCGACACAGGCGGACAGTTTCATATCAGCTGTCCGTATTGGTGGCAGAGCACTTATGGTTTATAGCCGTGTGCAATGGCGCTGGTTCACATCTCCCGACTAAAGATTTTTTTTTTTCTTTTCACATCTAAAAGTGATGCCGTGTGAAAATCTGCGTCATGAATCTTTATTCAGCTTACACGACAAACTCTACTGACTGCACACATAACAGGGATAGATAAACACTGAACAGTAAACCTTAATCTACCAAGTTAAAATAACTCTGAGAACTGCTATGAAAGGGCTCTTACAACCTAATGTTGGTGTATGGGAAAATATTCTCATTATCGAAAACAGGTGGTTCATTTACTTTCTCGTCACTAAAAAGCACGGCTAGCTTCAGAAGAGGCCATGTTATGAGAAGAGGGAAAACAGAACATGTTGTGACCACTGGAAAAATCTGTGGAAGGAGGGATAAAAGAAGAAAACGAGAGAAGATGCTTGACAGTTTTGTTGCATGGCATGGAGGTTTATCGGCACACGAACTGATACATGCTGCAGAAGATCGCATATTATGGAGAGGTAATAATTTATTCAATAAGACATGTCGCAAATTAATTAAACTATTGTTTCATTTCCATCAACCTGTTTTTAATCACTCATCATCATCCTCCGTAACACTACTTGTCGTTGGGCCACCAGTTTATGTTGACTGTCTGCTCAGCTCTCTTCACTTTTGGCGGTCAGTTGCGATGGACTTCATAGTTACATTGCTGAGGCCTGTCCGGTTAGTCAGATTCTGTAACCAGGTTTTTGTGTGTGTGGGTCTGCCTCTTATCCTCTCTCCCTCTAATGAGCTCTGTTTTTTTAGAGGCCTTGAGTGCCAGTCGCGCACACCTTGCAGACCATTTTATCACTACATTTCAGGATGTTTGAAACAACTTGGACCCTCAGTTACACATTTTGAGAGCCACTGCACAGATTTCACCACAATCTCTTGACAATGATTAATTTATGCCCATGGTGAGGTCATGCCGTTGAAGATCGTGTATATATGAGCCTGCGTGTGTATGTGTGTATGCGCATATGATAAATG